ATCATCCTAGTGAGTGCCATTGCCTGCAAGAAGGACCTTAGCAGTGTTGGCTAAGTGAGGCGTGTGGCGATGGCAGCGCTTACACAGGGTGTGATGCTGTCTGTGCTCAACAGAGTCAGAGGCAGAATGAAAACCTGAGGTCCTTGTTTCTCACATCTCTGCCCCAATCACCACAGTGCGTTTCCTTCTGCTTTCTCAAGCAGACATGAGGTTGCCCTGCTGCGCCGCCTGACCAATGCAAGTGCCATGACTTCAGCACTTGCACTCACTTTATAAGCACTGGACAGCTGCTGTAATGCTTGCAACACTCTTGATGTCACTGTTGAGTTTAAGCCAGTGGTCTATTTTATGATTAGAGATTTTGTTTTTCACTGGAACAACTTCAAGGCTTTTTCATCGCTAGCTAATGTTTATTCCTTGCACCAGTGAAGTGCAGAATGTGGTGAGTGGAAGAAACAGACCGGTCCACAGCAGAAACGGACAACCAGTCAGTCCTGTCTAAGCAGTCCTCAACAAAGCTAATCTCACAAAAACTCAGAAGCTTGCTGAGATTTTTTTCTGGATATGGGAAAACACCAAATGAGCGTTTCTAGTGAGAGGGCTGGGGCGCTTCTCCTCTTCCGCGGCATGCACAAATCACGCTTTCCCTCACCCCAGCCTCTTCTGTGGAGCTATGAGCATCCCGAGGGACAGAATGGAGCAACTCCTAAACACAATAAACATTACTTTGTCTGGGTTAGTTTTTACATTTCTGTGTTTTATTTCTTGTTTTGTTTGAAATGACCTGTACCACAAGAATACAATTTATTTAACAGGTTTTTTCTTTTTTTTTTTTTTTTTTTAGGAGCAGATAATAGTTAAGTAGATACAGTTTATTTCACTGACTGTCTATAACTCCCTGCATCATTCTCACAGCCTCTGTCTCTCTGGCTTCTCCACATAACCCAGCCACAAGAACAACAGAGTGGCCTTTGGCCATATGATTGATTATAGCTAGTGGATACAAAGTGGAAGCTTTTTTTCTCAGCTCCGATTGGTAATAAAAGCTCAACAAGTTACATTCTAGGGTCTTTCTCAATAACTTTTCCACCTAATAGCTGCTTACATGTTTCTGGTGCAGCATGTTTTATTTTATATATTTGTAATAGTTTAAAAAAAAAAGATGACTTAGCTTACAAAGAGAAAAATAATGCCCCCTTAGCACGAGCAATACTGCAAGGTTCCGATTGTTGTCGGGGGAGTTTCTTATAGCTTCACAGTTTTGCTGCAAGGTGTAATGCCCAAGTTTCCCCAAAAACCTAATTCTGTGTGGTATTTTACCTTTTCTTTTAATTGATCCCCATGAAATTTGTTTTACATTACAGGCCAGACACTGCTGTTCCCAGAGAAGAATGTACGCAAAACAGAAGAGCTGGTCACTTTGGAAGAATTGCCTTTTGTAGTAGCTGACGGGTATGTCGTTTCTGTTATCCGCACATGCAAATCAGGGGCTGGAGCTGCTTTTACCATAGCTGCTGGACAGGGGGCTTCATGCTTATTCACTGTCACTGATACACTTACCTCTACAGCTTTGCTTTGCTTTTTTTTAAGTCATAGAGCCCATTTGTGTCCCAAGGCTCAAGCTCCATCATCTTTTGCCCCATGTAGAAGGATAGCTGTATGGCGCTGACTCTGTAACTCCTATATCACAAAGGAATGGCATAAAGAGCACTGACCCAGAACCCACATTCTAGTTCATGTCTCAACTTCCACATCTCCAGACCTTTTTGTAAAAGACTGTGAGCATTCAAAGACCTAAGCAGTTGCTGAAGCCCCATCTCCTACGTCAAAGTGCACTGAGAGGACTACACTAAGATGTTACCCTTCTCTGCAAGCCCAGCCCACTGGGCGTAGCTGGACATGCTCCTCAATTATGGCAGCATGATAGGACTAATGATGCACAGCAGATCAGAGTAACTGGGAAGAGATGCGTGTGATTTCTGCACTGGTCTGAAGGGCCCAAGAAAGCTGATGTGGTTCCCAATATAAGATGGTACAAGCCTTTTAAGGGTTAAATCTAGACAGGTGTTTCTGTCCCAGTTCGTGGGGAAGAGTTTGCATTCCTTGCTTAAAGAGATTAATATATGCTAATTACTGTCTGGTTCAGTTCCCATCCTGCTTCAGAAGCAATGCAAACATTTCCAGGCATATTATCTTCAAGCAATGGGGGATATCCAGGTGGGCTCCAAGATAATGCAGCTGTAATGGAGAAAGAAGGTCCTGGGAAAAAATGCATTTGGTATCTTTATACTGTTCTGCCAAGGCAGGAGTTGCCTCCATACCATAGCCCTACTCTAAATAGCCAGCAGTCTCTGTGGGCTAGAACCTAACTCGGCAGCTCTCCCTAGTCATGTTTTGTAGCTAGTTCTGCCTCCCTGTTCTGGAAAGCAGGCCTGAGTCCAAATACAACAAAGCTGGAAGAGCCTTTTTTTTTTTTTTTTTTTTTTTTTTTTTTTGAGGTGACCTTTCCAGCCAGGGTGCAACAGAGTAAGAATTGCTTCTTAGGATCTTTTCAGCCTGTTAGCCTGTTTTGGGACAGTTACCTTTGCACAGCAGGTCAGGACACAATGTGCTGTGGCTGAGCTGGGTGGGACTCAGCAGGGAAGCAACAGTGATCAAGTGAGTCAAACTTACAGATGATACCACAACCCACCACATTTGTGAGAGCATTTATGCCACAGCCAGAAAGAGTTGCCAGGGTCCAGCACATGGCAAGCTGGCTCTGTAGTGATGGTGTGCATTTCACTTTGGTCCCTCTCAGTCACAGATGGGTACAGGGATCATGCGCACAACCAAAAGCCTCTCATTTTCTCCCCAGCTGCCTCCAGGAGGGAGCTGAGGAGAGAAGCACAAGTATCTGTTCAAAGCACGAGGCTGCTGTGTAATTGCTACCGCTGTGAGCATGGAAGCAGTCCCAGCTCCCATGTACCTTCTGCCCCTTAGGTCTCTGTTGTTTTACTAATGTGCCTGAAGCAAGACTGAATTCCTTTATCAAGTGAGTACAAAATGAGTTGAGAGTAGCTACGACTGTGTAGTGTAGCGAAAACTCAAAGGAGGTGGAACTGAATTAACTCAAGTACCAGGAGTGGGCCGGCCACAAGAGCTGAGAGGTCAGCACGAGTTAGCGCTGCCAGCCTCCCAGCTAGCCTGGGCACTGCTCTGCAGCGCTGCCAGCCCTGCTGTGACACATTCTGCTCTGGTAGAATACAAGCAACCACTGTCTCCCTGATCGCATGCCTCAACCCTGGTTTGGAAGGCTTCCTGGTGGGGGCAAGTTACTCCTCTGCCACACTACCTTTCTCCTGGGCTAGCCAGGAAGGGATGGAAGCTTGAGGGGAACAGTAGACCTAGTGGTGTCTCAAATGTAGGTCAGAGGCTTTTTCGCACCTCTACTGCCATGCCGCTGACCACAAAACAGACAATACATTCAGGTTTCATCACCTCAGGCTGGCTCAAAACTAAGTGGCCCAGAAAATGAAATCTCAGAGAATGACAACAGCCAGTTTTGTCCGTCATCCACATTCCCCTCTGGCTACTGGGAATGCAGCAGTTGTGGTTTAGGCAGCAGATCTAAACCAGGGCTTGGAGACAGCAGGAACCTGGTTACATGAGAGGAGTAAATAAACATACATACCCCACTTCTTCTCCCACGACCTTAAGGTCAGGTATCTGCTTTCCCATCAGCGAGAAAAACCTCTTACCAGGTCCAGGTATAATATATACTAGCTCTTTTGCTGCTGTTGAGGATCAGGGGATGAGGCAGGGGAAGACAGTAGTTGAGATACAGGGGGTTTCATGCCACCCTCTAATTTATTTCCCTAGGCTGCCACAAAAAAGCAATCTCTCAGGCCCAAGAGCTGCCTCCTCCGAAAAGCAGTGCCCTTGATTCCTAACTAGCATTTGGCAATAAGCCTATGTCTCTGTGGAGGCAAAGAGCTATCACTTTAACGAAGTCTAGGAAAGCCCTGGTTTGGGGTGTATTTATACTTGGGCAGTAACCATGCAGACAAAGCCTTGTGTTCTCTGCCACAAGGAACAAGTGGGGAATGGCACTCAGCTGAGCTGAAGAGGCAGGTTTGATACCCTATGGGGTAAAAAGTGTGGAAGAATTGTAGTTAGCACCACATAGGAGAGGATGCAGAGATTATCAAGTCAACCCAGCACTGAAGCATAACATCAGGCTCTTTTTTGTCTTTCTTGCCATCTGGGAAAGGAAACTTGCATTCTCTCAGGGTCATACATCCTACCTCTTCAGGGGCCTGCGGGGATTGTACATGGGAGGGACTAGCCAGGCGTAATGACACACTGTACAAGGTCGCAGAATATCTTACACAGTTAGGAGCATCTTTCCCGGTAAGAAGTGGGGCCTGTATGTACAAGTGTTAGCTGTTGCTAGAGGAGCCTGGGAGGCAGCTGTTTTGATCAGGAGAGGTCCAGCAGCACTCTTCTCCAAAGGAGCATCTGCTCTATGGTTAGAGCCAGAAAGGTGACAAGAAGAAGGACCCTGGCTGCTTCCCTTTCTGTCTGACCCCTCACAACACCAGCAGATAAAGTTTATATTGACTCTATTCTTCCTCTCTTCCCGCTTCTGTCCCCACTCCCCCTCCAGCACTGGCGGAGGGAGCTGGGGAGCAGGCAGCCTGGACAGCACTGAGAGCATCACTGCTCAGAGGGGCTGAGCTCCGATGACCACCTCAACAAGTGCATGAGCATATTCTGGTATTTCCCACAGAGAAAACAAACGAAAAAAAGAGAAACAGGTGACTGATTAAAAGAGTTTCCCCCCTCCTGTACATGAGATTCTGCAGTCACGCCGACAGATAGACATTAAATAATTCTTCCATAATAAATGATTGGAGATAAAAGCCGGCGGTGGCTGCTGCTGCTGTTTGGATTGCTCCGTTGTCTGCATCTTTGTTTCTAGTTTGTTCCCCGGCCACTGTCGGCTGGCGCTGGGGCTGTCAGACCTTTGCCTCTAGCATTTCTAGGAAGAGTTTATGCATGGGAACCTTGCCCTGCAGTTTGATGCTGTAGAAGTGCTGCACAGCTTTGGCGGCCGTCTGCCGCAGAAGGGGCAAGGTCAGGAGCAGCTTGCCTGCTCGCCGGGGCTCCTCGTTGCGCTGACTCAGCTCGTAGTCCTGCAGGGCTTCGTGGAGAAGGTCCTGGAGTTTCTGCACTGCATCCATGTCCTCTATGTGCATAGAGTCTAGGGGGGAGGGAGAAAACATAGCAAACAGACAAGTAAGTCAGACATGACGAAGGGAATCCTTTATGGTCCTGAAGCTAAAGATGCTTTCTTTCCTTTTCTTTCTTTTCTGTTTTTTTTTTGGTTTTGTTTTGGTTTTTTTTTGGGGGGGGGAAGGGTGGTAGTGGTGGTTGTTATTGTTGTTGTTGTTGTTGTTGTGTTGTTTTGTTTCTTAAGGGGAAAAAAAACCACCTTGCTGGCAGGTGTTGGTCCTGCTGCTGTGAAGTTCAGCATCAGCCCAATGAGTTGGCCCTAGCAGTGCAGGGACAGTAAGTTTGTCAGGGGTAGGTGACACATTGTGCCCTGTGTGCTGCCCATTTTGCCAGCCACCCCAAGGCTGTGCAGGGGGTCAGCCGGCGGCCTTTGTGACTTGCACATTCACTTGCCCTCCATGCCTCTTATGGGGAGAGTCACCCTGCAAGGGGCAGCAGCTGCTGTGCTGCCGCTTGGGAGCAATCTCATTAAGAATAATTAACACTGCTATAGCACTTCATCTGTCTAAACTGCCTAATTGCCATGCAGCTGCTCAGGGTGTCAGCAAGACAGAAAAGCCCCAGTAGGTCACAACCAGTGTGCCCAGGGGTGTTGCCAGCCCCACCTTTGTGCATATGCCCCTGTTTTCAGAGCCTGCCAGCAGCTGCTCAGGGAGCTTCCTGCTTCAGTAAAGGAAACCCGCACCTCCTGCAAGGCCTCTTCCTTTAGGCTGCCAGTTAGTTTTCTACAAGCTGCCGGAGGGGCTAGCAGGGTTTGCGTGGCTAGCACAACTCCTTGGTGTATCTCTGAGGCAAAGGTAGCTGGTAGTGGCCCAGTCCAGGGTCGAGCTGGGGAACCCGAGTTGAACACAGGCTGCTAAACTTGTGGGTAAGTCATGGTGACAGAGGGCAGCACCAAGGAGCAGAGAGGTTAGGTTAGAGAAGCTAACCAAGCACAGCATCACTGAAGGTTTTTCTCCTTTTCATCTTGCTGATACTTGCTTCCTTCTTACAACCCTGACAGAGCTGGAGACACTGTTCCCTTGTCTTCATTGTTCAGAGACTTTTAATCGATACTGAAGCCATTGATAAAGACTTCTGCCACAGCGCAATGAATCCAGAAGCAGCAGCGAAGGGACACTACAGCAAGCACACATGCACAGATGTAGTTGCACCGTCTGCCACTGCAGCTGGGCCTTGCAGTGTGGCAGTGCTCTGGCTCAGCCCACACACATAAAACACAATTGTGAGGACATGGGTTCCTCAGTGTGACAGCAGTGAAGGGGAGAAAGCTGGCTGAAGCACCAAAATCTCTCTAGAAATATGTGTCATCTCTATAGAGAGCACAATACAAATTAGAGACTGTGAATTTCTTAAGATATATGTACAGTAAATGCTATTTATGATGCATGATTTATAAAGTATTACAATAGTTGGGAAAATATCATGTCTAGCAAGAAAGCTGTTTAGGAAGCTGTTTAGAAGGAATGCACTAATTAGAGGATATTAAAGGGTTGTATTTCCAAGAAGCCTACTGAGGAAGGATTGTTCTTGCTGCATTTGCTTTTTGTATCCAAGAGACCAGGCAAAGAAGCTCAGAGAAGGGCTGGTAGGTCATCACAATGACCTGAGCTAGCCACAGAGGTTGATTCTGAAAAGTAGGGAGGGAGGAGCATGTTGCCAAGTCAGTCTGTCAACTTCTCCCAGCCAGGTAGCACCTCTGGAAAATTTCCATGCACCATCCAGGAGAAGTGAGTGGGATCTGTTTCCTGCCAAGTTGCAGAGCTCATTTTGGAGACTGGAAGCATCAAGAGCTGGAGCTTGGTGCAAAATGTCCTCCAGCCTTTCTGTTTAATGTCCTTCTAGCTAGGGGCACAAAGGGGAGAAGTAATCACAGTCTATCAGAGTTTGCAGATCCTAGTGGATGCTAGAAGCACCAGGCAATGAGCCATGCTTCAGGTTGAAGTGGGTGCTCTGTTTTTTGGGAACTGATGCTGCTGTACAGTAGACAGAATGCCAAAGCTGCGCCCTTCTGCCACGTGACTTCTGTAAGGTGACCAGACTTAACAGCACTAAGTAACTAGATGTATACAGGGAGAGGAATTGGGGAAATAAAGATCAAAGCCTGCCCCAACCCCCCACTCTTTGCTGAAAGAAGCTCAAAATTGGCAGCTGACTGCAAGAAAATAAAATAACATTGCAGGATTAATTTCCTTGCAATCCATCAGTGAGCTGGTGTCGATGGCATTGATAAACTGTTAATTACAAAATCAATAGCTATGAATTTTTACAGCTGTCAGAGCACTGAGGTGGAGGGAGGCTGCCTGACCATGTCCCTGAGGATCAGTTGGCCTAGAAGTCAGGCTTCATGTCAGGAGCCCTTCTCTAGCACTGCTGGCATGGGGTACAGGGCAGGTGTGAGAATGGACAAGGCCCACTGCCTTCCCACCTAACTCCTTTCTTGCAGCTTCTGGCAGAAGCAGGAAGGGCAGGGACCTCACAGGACCCATTAGTACAGAATTTGCTACACATCCCCTTGCCGGATCCAGACCTTGTTCACTCCATCTCAGTGCTAAAATGCATTGGGGTAAAAAAGTGGAAATAAGGTTTGGCCAGTCTGGGATGTCCTTAACTGAACACGTGCTGTATGCTAACCTGGAGAGCTCTTCAATACACAGGTTGATCAATTTGTATTCCTAAGGAAAGGGGACCTAGGAATGCCTAAGAAGGGACTGCTGACTCTGAAGGGTAACAAGTTAAGTCTACAGCACCCCTACTCTGTCAAAAAATGGGTGATCATATTGTTGGGGCTTGCCTGCTGCTCTGGGCATTAAGAATTCATTTCTCAGCTCTCTAAAATACACTTACTAAAGACAGAGTTCGCCTGAATTATCTTTGCCAGTCCCAGCAGATGTGTCCTTGGTGCATTACACTGAGGACTCAGAGATCAGCCACAGCTCTGGCAAGGTCGGCCTACTGTCAGCTTCTCCTCTAGTGAAGAGTGAGTGAGCTCCCATTTCTGTTTTCATTTGTTTTAATTCCTAGAAACAAAGGGTCAATATACACAGGGCTGCAAGGAAGAGAGGAAAGTCCCTGGAAGCTGGGTTGCATGAGCAATTACACCCAGCAGGGATAGGGGAAATTCAGGAATTTATCTATATGGGAGGCAAGGCAGCACAGGTCTGGGCAGCACAGGTGCTAATCTAAGTGCTCAGCTGTAAACCCTCTCTGACCCAAGGGAGCTGAGGCCTGGCCCAGAGGTAGTCTGCATTGCTACCATTTTAGGAATCAGCTGTTTGCATACAAGCACATGCAGGCTCTGCAAGTTTACTCCATGTCAGAAATACACTAAGAAAAATAACTTCTATGAAAAGAACGTGAAAGTTGAATGTAAGGTTACATTAGAAAAATACACTTGCCCTATTCTAGCTTCTTTATATGTATGTAATAGATGATAGCCATGATAAATCATGGCTAATTACATGAAAATTGAGATCTTGTGCTTTACTTTCATACGTTTCAGCAAGACAACAAAGCAGGATTTTGGTGGATTATGCTCTTACATAGCTACACTTCTAGCTGCACTAGGAGAAACCAGTGAAGTCAGAATGGCTTTTCCCATCCAGCTGAGAACATGCTTTGGCCTGTGCATCCTGACCCTTACCTTGGTTTCTTTACTCCACAGTGCTGGAAGCAGAACCCCAAAGCAGCTGATGAGTGTTGGTTGTTCTGCTCTTTGCTCAGTGTTTCTCTACTCCTGACACAGACTGTCCCATAAGGCAACCTGGGCTTAGTCCTGGCAGCACAGTGAGCAACATCAGCAGAGAGTGCTTCTGTTGCACTGTGAGGAACTTGACAGCACCAAGGCTCAAGTCCTGCAGTGTCTTTGCTCATAGCATGGGCCAGATAAATGTCCTGGTGTGGCACTTATCCTGTCACCCTGTCACAACCACTACCTTAGCACTGCAGCCTCTCTGAGGAGCCCTTCTCCCTGTTTAATCCCGTGACCTTCCTGGTAGACAGGAGGCAGGTTCTTTAACAAGAGTTGATTACATTGCCAAAAGCCACTGCCCCACAATCGAGAGAGGCCAGCCTTGGCCATCTGCCCATCCTGGTTCAGTGGCAAAGTGAAGGCAGCAATTAGAGCTAAAAAAGCAATATATGAGAAATTGAAAAAGGGAACTAGATAGCAATTTATATGAATCAGAAGTTATGAAGTGTAGAAAATCGATACGGGAAGTGAAGGACATCGGAGGAAAATCCATGACTGGAAGGACAATAAAGAAGTTTTATAAATATTTAAGAAATAGAAGAAAAATGACCATTTGTAGGGGGGCTCTGTTCACCTAGAGATGATTAAACTATTAATAGCAGTGCAGAGGAGACAGAAGTCCTCAGTGAGTGTTTCTGTCCTGTTTAGAAAAAAGAAGCATTATGTACCTATATTATATGAAGATGATGAAGACTTCTTAGTCTGTTGTTTATGTAAGAAGATGTTAGACATCTGTTAGGGACAAACTTTACAGAAACCAGCAGAGCTGGATAACTTGGCTTTAAGAGTTCTAAAATTGCTGCCTGAGGCCCATCTAGGGCAGATTAATGATTAACAAGTCTTGGTATTTTTGAGAAATTCAAAATGACTGGAAAAGTTCTAATGATGCACATATTTTCCTAAGTCTTATCTAATAATTGCCACGCTAGCCTGATGTGAACCAGGGCAAAATAAAGGGGGGGGTGGGGGGTGGGAAGTGACATTCAGTTAAGACTTATAAGATGGTATTACAACTTCTGCCAGTCAACCTGATACTTTGGAATAGAGGTCTCGTCAAACAAACCTGATTTCACCCTCTGATGAGATTACAAGTTTGGTTGATAAAGTTAACTGCATAGATATAATAGACTTAGGCTTTTATAAGGCACTTGGCTTAGCACCACAGGACATTTTCATTAAAAAATTAGCACTATGCAATATCAATAAAGCACACTTTCAATTGATTAGTAACTGGCTAGATGACAGATCTCAAAGTAGCTATCAGTGGTGAATCATCCCTGAAGGAGGAGTTTTCTAGTGGAAATCCACAGGGATCAGTAAAAAACCAGATGCTACTCAACAGTTTTATCAATGAGCTGTAAGTAATTTTAATTTTTTTCTTTTAAATTGCTGCTGCTAAAAAGTATGGATGGCAAAGAGGAACAGAATGGTGTAAAATGGTGAGGATAGGGTAGCTTCACAGCATTCTGGACCCCTTGCTTACACTTGAAGTAATATATCTGTAGCCAAGGAATGTAACTATGGAACAGGAACTTTATTGTGTCAAGCTGTCAGTTGTAAAAAGACCTGGGGTCATAGGACACAGCTCAACAAAGACCAGTATCTGGAGGCTGAACTCAAGCAAACTGATGAAGATATGGTGCCTTTTTTTTTTTTTTTTTGCTGAGAGAATGATAAATTATTAGAGTCAGCTACCACGAAAGATGTAGATTCCCCCTATTTTAATCCCTTCAGCTTCACACTGGTGTCTTTCTGGAAGGCAACTTGAGCCAAACACAGATATTGGACTCACTGCTGGGCTGCAAGGGTGAATTCTGTGACCTGCAGGATGCAGTTTGGCAAGAAGATCTGATGTGAGACAATGAGACTCAAGGGATGTAGAGGGAGCCCTCGTCACATAGTAGCTTTAGCAGTTTCCCTTTCAGAAGGGACAAGTGAGCAAATACGTGTCTGGCTTTTTTGCAACATCAGTGCAGCACACAGCACCTCTTGCGTCTCCCACAGCCTGCTGGACTGAGGGCTGCAGCCCTCCCCAGACTGAGATGGAAGGCACTGGGCTGAGGGCCCTGGCCTTTCTCATCCTCTTCACAAGAAGAAACAGAACAGGCAACATCAGGCTTCTGCCAGCATGTCTTACTCTCTACCATCCAGATCCACACTGTCTCCCAGTTAAAGGGGGATTCAGTGTCTGTGGTCACTGAACATCTCCAGGACAGGACCAGGCAGCCCCAGTCCTGCAGCTTTTTGTGGGATTTGAAATTGGGACCAGGGTTTCCCTGTTTGCTGTAACTGACCAACGCTACTGAGGTGGATGCAGGCGTGGCTCACGTCGCCTCTTCTGAACTGACAGTACTGGAGTCAGCTTGCTAGGGGAGAAGGGCTCCACAGTCTTTCTTCTTCTGCCAGAAACTAGCAGCCAGCCCATCCCTGCCTGGCTCCACTCCCTAATACAGGGCCAGAGCACAGCTGGGGCTCTAGCTGCAGCAAGCCTCATTTCTCCCTGCTCTCCAGCTTAAGTCCTGCTCTGTGGACAGAGAGGAGCTTTGAGGATGTTGCATGACACAGGCAGAGCACAGTCTCGGGCAGTAGGCTCTAGTTTCCTCCCAGGCCAGATAACAGCGTGGGCCTTGACTCCCTGACAGTGAGGCTGGCTGGGCCAGGGCTGTACCTGAGTTGGCGAGGGCCAGAGCTTTGAGCGTGACAAACTCCTCCTTTTCCACCTTGAGCTTCTTGTAGCGGCGCACCAGTTGTAGGATGGCCAGGTAGAGCTCCAGCAGCCCCGTCAGACGAGAGTGCTCTTCATCCATGATGTAGTCCTCTGCATAGACAAGCTTGTCCTCATACGGCAGGGAGCGGTACACAATGCCCAGGATGAGGATTTCCATCCAGGCGCTCTGCAGGAGGCTCATCTGGTCCCCAAGGGAGAGGTTGGAGAACCCTGACAGGGCAAAAGACAAGCAGGGTCAAATCAGTGTGCAGCAAAGCCTCTAGGAGCCTGGGGTCCTTAGTTTCCCTGGGGTTCACCGCAAGCACTCTCCCCCATTGGCCTGCTGCTTTCAAAAAAAAAAAAAAAAGCTTACTAAAGTGACCCTGTCTCTGTGGCAATCAGGACATGTGGACCTTACCCTTCTCTTTGCTCCCATGCCCACCCACAGCCTCAAACAGGAGTCCTGGTGCTCTGACTGCATTTATGGCAACCCAAGGTTAATGATAACCTCTTTTCAATGATCTCTGCTTCTTTATAGCAGCAGCAGCTGTTTTGTATCACATTGTCCTGCTCACTGTTCTTCTGTAGTTCTGTACTGCAGCCTATTTAGTCTGCCCCAGCTGACCAAAGAGCAGAGAAGAGCTCCAGATGGCAGAAAAGAGGGCTTCTGATGGGATGGGAGGAAATGACACAGGCCCAAATTGCAAGCATACCACAATCTCTGATTTTGGCCAACATGAGAAAAGTTCCTGCCACAACAGAGCACTGAAATGCATTCAAAAGGTGAAAAACGTTTGTGAACAGAATCCTCTTCTATTCCTCGTCACATTCCTCCCTGAGCTCCACATCATCAGCTTTCTCCACGTCACAGCCAACAACCCTACCCAGTGTCAAAAACACCTTTATGGTGCCATACAAGTACCTAAATCGCAGCCAAACCCAGTAGCAACAGACCCAGCACCCAGCAGTGAACCAAGTCATTCTCCTCAAATACAGAAAGAGGAATCACCATCTGGAGATAGACCCCCCTGACAGCCCCAGAGCCCCCTTGAGAAATTGGAGAGGCCAAAACACAGAGGCATTGTCTGCCCTGAGGGGGGAAAAAAAAGTGCATGGGAAGGAAAGTTGTGTCTGTTATGTTCTCTGTACCAGATACACTTAAAGGCCAGACCATGAAAGGTCCTGGGAGATGGGCACTGTGCAACAGCCATTACAGACAGGGATGCCAAGCATAGTGTGTTGGTCCCATTTAGGCAGCTCCTGCCCACCACTGACAGGCAGGGACACTGCTTTTTGGCAGCTCCTTGCGTTTAAAGGTTCCCAGGGCTGTGAGAGAATGGGACACCCAGGCACCCCTCAGCTTGGGGGACAATGCTCCACCAGCCTCCCCTGCCGGTTTTCTCCCCAGATGCTTACTAAGCCTCAGGGCTCACCAAAAGGCCTGTGGGCTCATTAGCCTCTGTGAACGAGCCTCCCAGTCCCTCTGGCTGTGTGCTAGGCTCAGCAGGACTCCTTTATCCCCACAGCCCTCCCTGCTCACTGTTCTTGGCCCCGCATCGGGGCCTAGGTAGCCAGCCACCATGATGATCATTTGATTTCTCTTGTTATCAAGTTGGCAATTAACAAAAGAGCTGATGATTGCTATATTGACTGACTGTGGGTTCTCTTTTTCCATCTGCACTATCTCAGCTGGGGAAGGGAAGGCAGAAGGGTGGGTTAGTGGTATTTATTTATCACTACGCCATGTTTTGTGTTTGTGTTGCCAGGGGAAGCAAAGGGTGATAATGGCCTGGCAGCCCTTGGACATCCAATTTCCCTTATCAGGCCACTGAATAGAAAAGAGGCCCCAGGCCACATTAATTAACAGATACCAATCAGCTGTCACGTGTTGTGTGTGCAAGGTCTGAGGGGAGCAGTGGGTGGGAGGGAAGAATCAATAAACCATTGGGGAGGAGTGCCAGAGGGAACGGCTAAAGAGGAGTCCAGGGTACTGGGGAGAAGAGCTGCAAATCCAGCTCCATGACTGTGAGATTGATTCCTGTACAGCACAGCCTGTGCTCCATGTAGCCCTGCACCTGGTGAATCCCACCCCGTGCTCAGGCTGTGAGTACTTCAGGGGTGCTTCATCCTTTGCCTCACCCTTCTGCCCCTTCCCTCCTGCAGTCAGTATTGTGCTGCTCCTGAATGCAGCCCTCCTGACTGAGTCCAAGTGCAGGCTGATGCAGCTCAAAGGCTTGGGATCCTGTCTCCCCAGGTCTCCTGCTTGCTGCACAGGAACTGATGAGGTTAGCCCTGAGACAGGAGTAATGGTGCTGTGCACAGCCATTGTCACAGTCTCTAGCACCTGGAATCTCTCCTTTGGTCACCCCTCTCCTAGCTCTGACCATGGAGAACAGCCCAGCATTTACTCTGCTGCCTCAAGTCCAGTTTCTGGGTCAGTCACGTGGCCTTTTTGCATCTTCATTCCCCATCTGGATTACAAAAAGGGTTATGCCATCACCTCACTGCGGTCTGCCGATGAAGTTTGTTAAAGATTGAGAAACAGTCGTGTAGTAGAGTGAGAGGATTCAGGACAGACATGGCTCACACTTTTCTACTAGAGAATAAAGTAGAAAAATTGACTTAACCCTAGCCCTGTACATCACATCCAGCATCTCTGTTAATCACTCTTTCCCAGAGGCAATTATGCCAGGTGGGAATTGCACAGGAGAGACCATGCTTTACCCTGTGCCAAGGAGAACAGAAGAGCTAGCTGCAATTGCCCTACCCACCTGGGAAAGCCCCCTGCCAGAAGCACTCCAAGGTAGCCAACAACTCTAGTTCCAGGAGGCAGGCGTGAGGGAGGGAGTGCTGTGGTGCCAAGCCTGGACTTGAAATGTCTGACAGAATTGGGACCCTTTTCCTCCAGTGTTTACACATGTAGAATGCAAGGGCTGGAGGACTGTGCCTGTATCATTGCAGTGTGCACAGACAAGGGAAGATCATATAACCTGGGGTCTCCCATGCTATAAAACTTGAGATCGGGAAAGGTTATTTCACCTCGCCAAAATCACAGGCTTGCTATTACAGGTTTATAACACCGGAGAACCTCTAGTTGTGAAATTCAACTGCCTCGCCATTTTACAGCTCCCAGGAATTGCTAGAGTCCATCCCTTTTGCATTCCTGAGCTGTTTGATGGCACAGCATCCAGAAAGTGCCCCTAGTGATCTGTTTCTTGCTGCTTTTCTCAGGTCTTATCCTGAAAGGTGCTGAATGCTCCACTGCCATCTCAGGGCTCCCAGAAGAGGAGCCTCTGTCTTTAGCACAGAGCTGCATGCATGTTTCCCTCCTTCCCAAGTGCAGGTTGAGAAAAGCTGCTTTATTTGCAATAACTGATGTGACATTCAGTTTTTTTATTTTTTGTGATTTTTTTTTTTTTTTATTTCAGTGGTTTGGCAGTGGGAGCTCCCAGAATTAAAAAAAAAAAAAAAAAAAAGTCACATAATTTGTGGCAAGTGGAGTTCATAATCTGTTAATTTATTATCATTTCTGTCATCCTGGAGGGCCATTAGCAGAGGTAATAAAGGGAGATGTAATTATAGGATCTGAGGCCACTCCAGACACAGCTGCTGTCACTCCACTTGCCATATTTCATTCTGTGCTAGTACTATCGTCTTCCTAGTGAGAACAGCACAACAGCTACCCTGGGAGAGCCTTCGTTGTCACCCCTAGAGAGAAGTCTTGTCTCCCTGCATCCAGGCATGCAGAAAAGGTAGATGTTGTTCAAAGACAATTAGCACAGGGGGGAGGGCGAGTAGTGGGGAGGGGGCCTTATACAGAGCGGGCCAACTCCACAATGCCTAAGCATGGCTTTTGAGCTAATGGCTAATAAGGCTATTGAGCTAATAACATTTGCTAAACACCATTAAATCATGCTTTCTTGTTATCATAGGAGAGTGTCTTTAAGCTTAACTGATTTTATTTGCTAACACTGGGGGGTAGAATTTTGTGTCGACACCTGGGATCCTGAAGGGTTGGTACGACTTTAACGTCACACTGTTCTTTACCAATTCCAGTGTGAACACAAGGCAGGAATATGTGACTTTTGTTCCTTTCTCCATCTCTCTCTGTCCAAGAGTTCATGCATACAGGAAGCAATGTCCTGTTTTGCTCAAAATCCTTGGAAGGCAGAAATATGGGGCATGGATAATCTAGAGACCTGGCAGCCTCCTCGCCCTGCCCTGCTCTGCCCCCTTGCTGCCTAACTCAGTATGTTTCATACTTGTTTCAGAACTATAGGGTATTTTGTTCCATTTTTATGAACTGTCTTTTATTATGTTTGTTTCTCAGTACTGCTCCCTTGTGTAACAATCTCTGAGCTCTCTCCTGTACACATAGTCCTGTTATAATACTGCTGCTGGTCTGAACTGTGCCATGCTGATGGCTGTTACTGTGTTGCAGGGCCTTTGATAGGAAAGGAAAATACACACAGAAAATTGAGATGATGGCAGGTATGTCCTGGCTGTCAGAAAGGAGAGGAAGAGCCCCTTTCACAGTGCAGGAGTAATCTCTACTATACTCCTGTTCTGGCATAATATCACCATGGCAGGCTGGAAAACTCTGTAGGAACTCGGAGCTGAGCATCCCACACTCATCCCTCAGCCACAAGCTGGGGAACTAAAGCAGGGCACCCTGTGCGAACAGAAATGGCCAAGGTTAGAAGAACATGCAACAGCACCTCACTGGGCAGCTGTAGCAGCTAATTGCATTGTATTAAAACCATTCCTGTTAACACTCCAAGTACTGGGTTAGTAGAGCAATCCAGGCTGAGTTCCCTAATCGCCACTGTAACCCCACTTGTGATGAATCAGCCCCAGATGGATTCCAGCACTAGTGACGGGTGTAATCCCTGCAGGTACTGCAGATCTCGTGTAAGAAGGGCACCACTGAGATTAACCTCTACTCAGAAACACTGTTCTCAAAAAGTTTCTCCAGACCTTATAGTCCTACCACATAACAGTCCGTATTCCATACAGCCCAGGAAACCACTAGCTCTTGAGTCACAGGAGAAATACTCCCTCTGAAAAAAGAGAAGCAGGCACAAAAAAGCCAAAAGAGGAGGTACAAAGAGAAGCAAAATACATGGGAGAACTAAACTGTCTGATCACTCGTGCTATGATGCCTCACCAAACAAGGAAGAATGTAAAGCCAAGAAGCAAAGCAAGAGAACACAGACCCATGCAGTGGAAGACACAGACAATGTGCAATATGGGTTAAATCCTGTGATCCTGTGGCTGAGCCTCAGATATTCTCCTGACACAAGGAAGGGGGACAGAAGGCAGGAGATAACTGTAGAGACCTGTTCGTAGCTGCAGAGAGCTATGAACTTCATAGTAAGCATCTGAAGCAGTCTTTGGAAAGCAGCCACATAAACGCCAAGGACATCCCCTAAGTTCCCTGGCCAACCTTCTCCACACTCAAATTCAACCTATCTTTTTGGGGGCATGCGAGGAACTAGAGAGAGGGGGCATTTTCCCTTCCCAGTCCAAATCTTTGTCCCCAGAACCCCCTCAAGGGGCCATGTCTGCTTCTTCAGCCTGGGTCCGTCCTACCTGCAGGTGTGAGACACTTGCTATGTCACTCAATCGCACAGGCACCCTCACTGGTTATAGCCAGTGAGCCTTCAGAGACTAGTCACATTGCCAATAAGGTGTCCTCAGTATTTGTCAGCGTAGAAGCCTGGAGATTCACTGACAATAGTGAGTATGTCCTCCATCCCACTGGGCTTTGTTCTGTGATGAATCCAGTATGACAAAAGCTTTCCTGAGTCAGGGCAAGAATGCCCACTACAGACAGGGTGGGTACCTGCCTTGTCATTAGCAGTAAAGTCCAGTCACTGCCGTAACATTTATTCATCTATACACACAACAGACCTAGGTCACGTTGATGCAGTGCAAAATCACTGAAGTCCACCGTACCATCCCAACGGCTGTTTCCTGAGTGCTTTTGCTGTGCCACTCAATGCCAGGTACAACCAAGAACTTTATCATATCATCTCGAAGTCTTCTACATAATCCCAGGGCGCACACACATATAGTCATCAATTTATGCACCTACACCATAGGTTATATTGGAGTTTGTTACCAATGAGGACCCACCACAAGCAGTTTTCTGCGACAGTGATTTCCACCCATCACTATATGTAAAAATCCTGGTTGAAGACAAAACTGATAAGCACAGTGATAGCTCACTTTGCTGTTCATGCTTACATCCTTGTAATTCCTCCTATTTACCTGGGATGTGCTTTGCCCAGCCAATGATCACCACCAGTTCCCTGTCTGCCAGGTCACAGAGGGTTGTCAGGGCTTTGATGTCACTCTCTGGCATGGTTGGATCAGGCATGGCATAAATCTTCTCTGGCTCAGCCACCAGCAAGTGGGAGACGATCTTAGTCACTGCACATTTCAAAGGAGAAGTTGTTGTTGTATCTCTGATGACATATAACAGTAAAGAGTCATAACAGCCCTTTCTAAAAGGACCTTCCTGGGATAAGAGATGACTATAGAGGCCATAGCATGTCAGAAATGGTTTTGGTCACAACAGGAGGAGACTACACTGCAGCTACATAAGCTGTAGCGATCTGCCTATGCCAAACCATCCTGCAGGGATGACAAAAGCAGGAAGCTACTGTAAGGTTGTCAGCCATTGTCTCAGGTAGGTCCAACAAGGGGAGGAGGACGCATGAATAATCAGTTGGTGGGATGTGGAAAAGTTTAGAGAACTATGGGTAGTATGGAAGAGAGAAATCAGTATGGGACCTGTTTTGTTAACATAGCTTGGATACAGGAAAAGATCAGAATATCACTAAATTGTTTTACATAATCTCCTAGGAAAGGTCTGGTATTTAACCTTAGGTATAATGAATACAGCACCTGAGCTGTACCTTAGGCGTACCTAATCTACCTCTGCACTATGATCAAAAGAAAAAAATCCTAGTGCTGGTGACTGAAACGGGAATCAGAAGTGACAACTGCTCCACTGTATGTTTTGGGAGACCAATAAAAAGAAACATAGTGGTTGCTCAGAGGACCACAATTCAAGACCAATACGTACGTGGCTTTTTAGCTGGGGGAGGGATCTGTAGGCTCAGGTAAGTGCTACTCTCAGAATCCAGTCTCCTCTTGTATTTCTGACGGCCTCCACGGACTCGATCCAGACGAACACCTGCAGGTAAAACAAGATAAATCCTCATGATTCCTTAGTGCTACAGGGAACCTTGACATGGAGATGCTAAAATTTGCTAAGTAAGACGTTCCTCCCACTCCAGGGAGCTTCCCTCTCCCAAACACTTGAGATCTCAGCTGAACCCAGCAATCCCAATAATACCAGCTAGACTGCCTCTAGCTCTAACCATGCTGCTGTGAGCTTTACTTTTATTCAAAATATTAATGAAGACAGAAATTAACCCATTCAAACTCTTGAATCACCAGCAATCTGATGGGCAAATGAAAAGCTTCAGACCTCAATGCCCTCTAGATGATATTGCTTTTAAAAAGAAAGACTTTAAATGTCAATCAAACCTGCAGTTATAAAAATAAGCTTTTAGATTGTTCTTAAAAATGAGAAGTTAAATGTTCTGTGACCTCTCACTGTTTATATTTGACAAAAGTGACCTATAGCAAATAGATTATGAACTATGAGTTCAGCAAAGATGTTTCAGCCTTGATCAAGTAAGGCAACTGTAATAAAAGTAGAACGCAAATAAATAGAAACAACCTCTACTACAATAAAGCAATGATAAAGCTGAAGTAGGGAGACACTGAAGAATTTGTTGCAGCTCTTTCAAAATACAGTGAATCAAACTGCAAATAGCACATTAAAAACAGTTCCCGGTGACTGGGAAACACCAGTGACTGCCACCATGCAAAAAACCATAGCAGCATCAATAGACTAGGAACAGCAGCTGAACTGCTGTATCAGTACAAAATACAATGTTAAAAACAAATAGTGAAAAAAGCCATAGATATTTGTCCAATTGTCAGTTATTTCTGGCCAGCCATACAGTCTCTGGTAATCAGTTCTTGTGAAATTGGGGTAATTCAGTCTTGCTGGCAGAAACAGCTATTGCAAAACAAAAAAATCTTTCAAGGTAAATGTCGGAGCATTCAAATAGAATAAAAATACGAATTTACACTATATAAGTACTTCCTTAGAAACACACATGAGTTTATCTAGTCTGATCACAGGAACCGATTATGTGAGACACTTCCTAATCACATCGAGCCATTAATATTTTGCAATCAATCCACCACATAAACACAAACAACTAAAAGCAAACACTCCAAATCAGTTTTGAAGGGCTGCTTTTTGAACAACCTGAAAAAATCTGCAGTCTGCTGACAAATATTCTACCCTAGAAAAATACTCTACACTGTGCGTTTCAATGCCACATTTGCTTACTATGTCATGGAAAAGAGAAAGCTTTTACTGTAATGCTCATATCAGCCCCACTTGCACCACATGAAACCGTTACTTGCCACAACATCTAGATCCTGATACTCTTCATGGCTGGAGCACCCAAACCAGCTTGACTGACAGACAGTACCAACAGCCCTACAACAGCAAGAATATCCAACCAACCAGCCCAACAGCACTCAGTTATACAGTCTGACAGCAAAATCTCTCTGGCAGTAGCAACACCCACATGGAGGTCTAGATGGCACTACCTGTAAGCTATGGTATGTGGGGAGAGAGGCTTATAGGCATGATGATACTAATGCTATATAGCTGCTTCCTTTTAAGTGTCCTGCTGCTCCCATTGAGCAGGAGAAGCAGGAACAAGCAGGCCTGGAGCTCTCCAGAGCAAAGGAACTGCTGCTGCAAGTGGCTGCTATGGGAGGATGGCAGACATTGGAAGATGATGAGAAAGACATGAAGCCGAATACTACTCCGATCAAACTGAGTAGTTTCTTTCCCCTGCCCCATTTTCTATTTCTGGCTCGGTGTGGAGAATTCACTGATATCCCTAAGCTTAAGTACCACCTTTCTCCTCCATTACATGGTAGTGTTTCTGAAAATGTTGCCCATTGCTTCTTTTACCTCCATTCCCAGCAGCAGGTAGCCTGTGGGCAAGACTCCTTCCAGGGAGCCCCAACACGTTCCAGAGAGTGATTTCAGAAAGGGCAGCCAGGGAATCCCAAACCTGAGATTATCTAGGGAGATGCCTGAGAGACAGTACTAATAAAAGTTCTGGATGAAGCAGGAAACTTTCATTTCCATCCATGATTTCTTTCCCTCTATAAATGTGCCCTGGTTTCCTAAGAAAGAAGACCTCTATTCCGTGCTCTGCTGAATGAAATGACACCTACCTATAAGCCAGGAGAGGAGGGAGAGCCACAAATTTCCGGAACTGCCAGTAAACCAGGTAAGCAGGTGTGAAAATTAAAAGGGTCAGGAATACACTGTTCAAAGATTATGGAGGAATCCAGAACAGGCTGCAGGACTTCAGGCCTGAATCACAGCTCCCTAGAATCCTTGCAGAAGAAGGGTCACAGCAGGGTGAACGGAGTTAAATCCAGTTGGCGG